AAAATTCTCCGATCAAGTATCTTAAAACAGAGGCACAACATATATTATACTCATTTGCCCTAAGCGTCGTAGATAAATTCGTTACTAACGGAATTTTGTTTTGCTCTAAGTTTCGAAGGCCAATTTTCTACTTTACCGACCTTTTTGACAGACCTTGGAGCTTCAAGGTTGGGCGCAAGCTCAAGCTTTCAAGGTTTCTAGCCTTTTCCGGGCCTCTGCAAGCTCAAGTATCTCCCGAGAGAAAAAAAAGCAGGACATATTTTATACACATTTGCCCTAAGCTTCGCAGATAAATAAACTCTTTACTTAACGGAGTTTGCTTTCCCCTAAGTTTTAACGACCAATTCTTTATTTCACCGACCTTTTTGACAAACCCTGACGCTTTAAGTTTGGTGATACTTCGTGGGCCTTGAAGAGTGCGGATTTCGTGGCAGGCGCAGTACTTCGTGGGCCTTGAGCTGCAGATTTCGTGGCAGGTGGAATACTTTGTGGACCTTGGAGCGCAGATTGCGCAGTACTTTGTGTACCTTGAAGTGCAGATTTTCGCAATACTTTGCGGACATTTGCCAGAATGATCATCCATCTACCACAATCACCATTATCACTACCCACCACCATCACCACCAATCACCTCTCTCTAGACTTTCTGCTGCGGCGCTTCTAGACTTCACGCGCACTGTTTTGGGTGTCTTGCCGCGATGTTTTTGCGCCCTCCTCTCCCCAAGCTCCATGGAAACCGTCTCCAAGGCTCAGAGGCCCACGTTTAGACTCAATCTTTTCTATTCCTTTACATCGGGCTGTGGGATCTAAAGCTTTCAAATCTATTTTGAGACATTGTCCTGCTGGCTAACTCTCATGGTATAACATCAAAAGAGACGTGTTAGATCAAATGATTCAACCAACATACCCGTTTGACCTTTTCAAAGCACTGTAACACTTGGGCCTCCACAACTTACCTTTCTGGATCGAAATTTGCCGATATATATATATATATATACAAAATGTTGTAAATATAAAGAAAGGCCTCAAGAATTTGGATTGAAATACACAATGTTGAATTGTATAATTCGAACGTTTCTCTACTTGTCGCATATGTTCTTGAAAGCCAGCCTTTGTCAATTTTGCCGCTGGAGAAACACAGCCGGCCCTGCACCACCAAGTGGAAACAATCTGAAAGATGAAGGCTTCTGTGCTTCTGTGCAGCCGATTGGTTTGATTCTGTTGGAAAGACCTAGCTAAACGCAAACGTGTCCAAATAGGTGCATCGCCGAAGAAGCAACTAAGCGACCTTATATGACATTAAAGCCGCCTCATTGCCAACGCGGCCGACAATCGCCTCCAATGTTGCGCCTTTGGGGTTTGAGGACCTGGGCGAACAATCTATGCATGTGGTGAACGTCTTGCAAACAGCTATGGACGCACACAGATGAAAGGAACACTGGCAACGGCCAACTGTATTTTCTTGGCGCGGTAAGACGGGGGCGCCACGGATGAATAGAACTGCTGCAGGACCCCCGGATTCAAGTCTCGACCAAGTTCCTTCACATTGTTGAGGAGTTTCCGCGCAGTTTGGGAACTCCTCGCACTCCCTCGACGCAAGCCCGCACGCGTTAAAGTGGTATGGGCAAACTAAATTACGGTGCTAGGTTGAAATTTCTTGGGGCAATCGTTGGCGGCGTGCGCACAGTCTGCCAATTCGATTACCCGGAGAAAAGCACCGTCTTGCAAAGGGTCACAGGAGTCGGAAACTGCCTGCTGACCAATTTCGGCAAGCATACACACAATGCCACGCACCGGCATAGTGTCGACACCCAGATCAAATTCTTGGAATTGCGCAACTGAATTAAACCGCTGCTTCACAGTTTTGTCAATCTGCGCGCGGACCTCCGCAACCGCAGCAGCGAATTCGGGCATACCCCGCCCATCCCGCGTTGCACGCATGAATTCTCTAAAAACTTCTTGTGAATGGTGCCCACAAACGCGTCGCCATCATAGTCTGCATTGCGAATTGCGCACGCGCCAGCTCCCTTCCTTGCCTGTACAAACCAACGCGTTATCGGGCACATTACGCGCGAATTCAGGAACCGGGGCCGCGTTCCACAATTGCATGTCCCATGGGTGGAGCATTGGGTAGCTCCACACCACAAATTCTCCCTCCCAGGCGCGCCCGTTCACAATGATGTGGCAGCAGTTGTCCTGGTGCACGACATTGCAAGGCCCCTAGCCATATAAACGACAGTTGACAGACAGTCTCTGCGCAAGACAAAGATTTGAAATTTGAAACAAAAAATTGCATTGGCTTTCGCGCCTTCAACGTGCCCCACTCGTCCATGACGGCCCACATCTGGAAGCTCAGCGCGCTGCCCATCATGAGTGCGCGAGCGCGCCATGCTCTTTGTTTAGAATTGCCAGGTTGGTCGTTTGTTTTGGCGCGCGGGATCCGGTCTGGGATGGGAAGATGCGGCCGCCTGTTGCGCACGGCGTGCTCCGCGTTGTGGCGGCGCATGCCGCGCAGGAGGCTGTCCCGACCACCTGAACAGAAAATGCGGCGGTGTTTTTGCAAAGCTTTTGACAACGCAGGGCCCCGGCTCATGCAACAAAATTTTATAATGGACAAGAGTGACGCCATGCGACACGCGGGGCCGTGCCTCGCAACACCGACCATGGCTTTGCCTCTGCCTCTTCCTGTAGAAGGGCTTGCAGGTCGGTGGGATCGTCGAAAGTCTCCTCAATTGAAGCAGCATCCTGGAACAGAAAAAGGACTAAAAAAGCAAAAGAGCATAAACCACACGGTCCTCATCATGTACATAGAATACTTAGTTGTGTTTCAATATTGAGTACATATAAAGAATCTAGAGAACATTGAGTTGTGTTTCAATATTGAATACATATATAGAATCCGAAAAATGAAGATATTCAGTATTATTCAATAAGTATGTTTGTAAATATTGAGTTAAACATCTACCGCATACTTTTTTGGTTTCGTGAATTCTATATTTAGACGCGAATGAAAAATAGAAGACTTTTGAATGTAGATTGATTAATTGTAAAGATATGTTTAAGATACTATTCTAAAACAAAAGTTTTGTTATACATCAACTAATTGCAATAATCAATTTTAACATATACTTAAAATGTTTTTGTATATGCTTCAAACATACGATATTATGTATCTATATATATATATTATTGAAATTAATTAATCTGCATTTTCTTATATATAGATATATTCAATTAAAGAATGAATTAACGATATTAAATATTTATCTGTATACCTCTTTTGCCAATTACCATGATATATACATATATATTCTCTGAAATTTCTTACTACTTGAAAACATATACGTGAAAACATATATGAATGAGCAATATAGATGACCCATGTATTATGACCAATTCATTTTTGCACTTGCTTTATATAGATATAAAATCATTTGGACAAGACTAATCTTTTCTGTTTATACTACTTTATAACGCGTTCTAGTAAATTAATCTACAGTATTTCAATAATTTCATGAAACATACCATAGTTTCTTATTTCAAAAAAATTACAACAAAATCATCCACACAAATGTTGAACACATTATCCCAACTAAAATGCATCAACAAACAATCACCCACTGCCCTAATCCCCGCGATGAAGAAATTGCATTCTATTTCTGTTAATGAAACAGTCGCTCAATTTTGCAATGCCCTCCATGATGATCTATGTCCACGCCCTTAAAGCTTTAAGATCTCCGAGCGCTGCTTGCCAACATATTTACCTAACAAGCAACTGTGTTGGCGCAGAAGTGGCGCAAGCCCTAAAAGTTTAGGGTTTAGGTTTTAGGGTTTGCATCTTCGAGTGGGCTCGCTACGCTCGCCCTCATGAGTTGTCTTCTCACACCCCCGCTTGCGCTCCGCCCACGTCTCAACCTTTTCGGGTTTAGGGTTCATTCGAACCCTTGGCGGGGGCCCGGCGCAATTTCGTTATTTTTTCGAAGGCAACTTCCACGAGCTCGCGCCGCGAACTTCGAGAGGCGAGCGGAAGGTCAGAACGAGTGAGATATCGAGCGAATCAAGTTCCGGCCGAGCGCGAGTTAGAGGGCACCCCGCTACCAGCGCAACGAGAGATTGCGCCATATATCTATATATATCATATTTCTATACGCGTGTATATATACGTTCGGTTGAGGCGGCCGGGCGGCGCGAGTGAGTGGCGAAACGAGCGAAGCGCCGGACGTCGGGTGGAGCAGGAGAAGCAGCACCGGTATTGACCTGTGAACCTATGTTTCTGGCGGCCAGCTTGGCGGGGAGCAAGCGCCAGCCCTAAAGTCTTATAGTAGAGGCGGGTTGCTAAGTTCCGCGGGAGATACGAACGTAGGGTCCAAACGAGCTCCTCAATTAAAAGGAGCGGGTTGCTAAGGTCCGCGGCGATACGAACGTAGGAAATAGGGTATTTCTTCTAAGGCGAATACGGCCGAAGGCCTCAGGGGCTGACCGGCTTATCCCGCAGCTCTGTCGAGCCAGGGCTCCTACGCACGCCCGGTGGGGCTTTTGCTTCGGAGCCCGCCTTGCCCAGAAAGGGCTTCACGTTCGGGCTGCTGGACAGGGTGCCGCGTCACATCCGAGCCAACAGGCCCGCGTCACATCCGAGCCAGAAATCCCCGTCACATCCGAACCCCTTTCCGTAACAGCCCCGAAGCAAACCCTTGGTTTTGGGGGTTTGGGATCCCGGTGGAACATGAAAACTGCAAGTAGCTCAGTCAGTTGTAGCTCAGTCACAGCTTGCTCATTCCCCCAAAAAGAAAAAGTCCCTTGCTTAGACCCTCACTGCCAGGAGTCACAAAGGGTATCCACTCACTTAGGGACTCAAAAACCACCCCTTTGTGACTCCTGGTGTAAGGTCTTGAGCCTTCCTTGAGCCTTGTGACTGCCTTCCCCCACGACCGGGTCTGCCAGTCACCCCGCGCGGCCAAAACCGCCCCGTGTCGACGTCTTAAGCCAAGAATTGGGTTGCCGTGTAAAAAGAGGAATGACCTGTTCTTGTGTGACCGCTTCGGCCGTTTGTGGGTGAAGTCACCTGCTGGAAGGACAACCTCACCGACGGCCGGACCTGTGGTCGTGAATCTGCGGTGAAGAGCTGATCGCTACGCTCGAAAGGCCTTCAAGACACCGAAAACGAAATCCTCCAAGGTCCAGTCGATAACAAAAGGAAATGGTCGAAAACTACCAGTGCCACTCAGTGTCCCATGAAAAAACAGGATGTTTTCACACACAAGGACCCCTGTTGTTGGCTGTAGGGAACAACCAGGTCTTTGATGGTTTGTTGGGCCCCTGGTAGGTGAACCTTCGTTGCCAAATAGAGTCGACCTTGGTCCCTCAAAACCATAGGGATTTGAGAGTCTTGTCACAGAGCCTTTGACGCTTTGTCGCCAAGACTGGGTCACAACGAGTGGGTCGCTCTGTTCGGAGCAAGAACTGGCGCGAACGAAGTGCCCGTCCGAAGTCCAGTTTGACTATTTTGGGGCACCACCGAAGTAAAGGAAAGACTCGAATCACCTCAAGTTTAAAATGGTCTTGGACTCCCCAAAGGGGGGGTCTTCAGAATCAGACTCCGAACCGTCTGCACCGTCAGCTATAGTCAGCTATAGTCGTCCGACTGTCAGCCCGCAAGTCCGGACACACCAGCTCGCGCTGCCGGCGCTTGGCGCTGGCGGCTCCTTGATGACACGATGTCCGAACTCCAAGCGCGACAGCCTGGGGTCCAACAGAGGTCCTGCGGCTCCCGGTCGGGCCGAACGGTCCGGTCGGGCCGGTGACATCCGAACGGTCCGGACGTCGTGGCATCGAAGGAGTGAACAGGTCGACGGTGTGTTCCTTTTTAAACGAAGCGATGTGGATGTGATCATAAGAAAAGCCCCTACATATATACCGTACGTACTATTCCTACTAGTATAGTTGAGGTGCTTCTTTCTAGACCTGCTGGGATCAAGTTCGGTCACGACTGGAAGAACCGATTTCCGGGACCGTCCGCTTTTCCGCGCCGTCCGCGCCCCGTGGGTCTTGTTCGGACCGAAGGGTCCCACCGGGGTGGATCGGACCGAAGGGTCCGAAGGAACGACCTGGTGTTGTCCAGTTAACGCTTGAGCTGTTGGCTGCCGTCCAGCGACACGAACAGCGAGACCACCACCAACCGGGATTCCAACGCCACCGGAAGTTGGTGGGACGGGTTTGGGCATACCAGAAGCCGAAGACCAAATGAGGTTAGTCGAACCAGGTTTGACGGCGAAAAAGCGACCTTTGCCACGTTGGCAGCGACCTCGATGGATGGCTGCTTTCCTGGTTGAAATCACTTGGATCGTTCTAACCCTTGGCTATGCCGGAGGTGAAATGCTCGTTTGAAGGTGTAAGAAACCTCGATGTGAATTTTAACATCCAAAACACCATAATATTGTATGCTTAAATATATGTCCTTCAAAACATTTCTTCCATGGATCTTTGATCTGCAGAGTCCCTGTCTTTTTGCCTAAAAAAAATGGCCAGCAATCGTCGAAATCATGCACCAGTCGGAAAATTGAGGTCTGAACATGTCTGCCACCAAGCCATCCTTCTGAACACCGGCCTTCCATACCGAACCCGTGTTTCCCTTTTTCAGATTCAGATACAGCAGTTTCAGAGTAGATGGCACAAACCCCTACATGTCTTAGACAGATGGGGTTCCATATAAACCACCAAGGCAACGCCATTTCTCACCTCTGAACCCCACAGGGCACGACAGTTCGCTTCACGTGAGAGTTCGCTTCGAACTCGAAAGTGCTCCTAAGGATCCATCGCCCTGGGCACGGAAGTTGATCAAGGCCACAAAGCCCGAACGGCTGAAGCTACTGACTTCCACGAAGTAGGCCTCATTGCCTGAGACAGGGCGGACGACGACCCGACCGTTCGCGGGACGGAGGACGGCGGAGGCGAGGAGAACCGGAAGGGGAGTGGTCAATTGAAGCTCGTTCGGCATGGTCCACCCTAAAGGAGTCCAGTCTGACCCAGGTTTTAAGCTGGTCTTTCCATCCTTGAATCGTGCTTTTGTATGACCAACTAGGTCAAACAGACCTGTAGGGTCAGAATTCCTGTTCTGAGATGGCCCAACGAGATGATTCCCGTTCGGTTTGGGCGGTGGGAAGTGGCTTATCTAACCAATGGACGGAAACCATGGCAAAAACAAACGTGGAGTCCAAAGGAGGCCGAAAACAGAATTCCTTCCAGGTGTTTTCCAGGCTGAGCTTTGCTTCACCAACATAGAACTGCGGGACGGGCGCGTTCGGGTACGGAACTGTTGTTCCCCTCCTGAACCATCCCCGGCGTCCAAGTGGCGCGTCTCCTTCTCCATCTTCAACGCTCGCCGGGGAGGCTTGTAGCGCATGCCCGTCCGGGCAAAAGAGTCTAAGCAACTCACGCTGACGTGCTCCGTGACCGGACCATCTTTAGGACACGCTCCTGCACGGGACACGTGGCTCTCGCCGTGCAGGACTGGGGCGGCCAAAGGAGAATGGGAACGTGGACTGGGGAAGGGGGAGGGCTGCAATGCCCGACCATCGCATCCCACGGCCCCTGAATTTCAACTAAACACCACCCAACTCCATGTGACTGGTTTGGGGAGTCAACCTCATGGCCGCAGGGCAAGAACTCTTGGATTCTCCTGCCTCTGGGATTCACCAGCAGCGCCAGCCACCAATGCTTCTCTTGCCTCGACACGTCTCTCGACCGACAGAAAACCACGTCTGCAGGACCGCCGCGGAATCACGAGTCTTGCTCCCTCGAGCGTGTGGGACGTCCATGAAAGAGGGTGAGTGAAGCACTCATGCTGGGAATCAAAAGACGCCTTCTTCCCAAGCTTGGCGAGATGTTTTTCCATGCCTGAAGCCCTCCTAAATCTCCTCAATCTCCCAGAAAAAAGAATAAAACATGGTTCCAGTCGACTTCTCCTCCCTGCATCTCCACCCAAACCCACCCACCCACTAGCTCTCCCTGGCTGAGGTTACTCCACCCAGTAGCTGTCGTCCCATGTAGTCCCTCAGCAGCTCGTTCACTGGAACCGCCAAAGCGCCCACTTCGTCCGCAAACCTGAAAACCAACGATTCAACGCTTTGGCACCACCGAACCCGACGTCCGCACCGACGACTCTGCCAGGTCACCGTTCTGGAAACCTGTCTCACAGGGCTAACACCCGGGTGCCAACCCTCCATGGAAAGGAGACCTCTTCCAGGTGCTGGTACAGGTTTGTCAAGGACCACATTTGACTGGGTCCGGGCAAATGCCACAAACCAGAACATGAACCAGTCGGTCGGTCGGACCCCCTTTCACTTCACTGAATCAAGTCGGTGAGTCTTCCCTGGTCGCATCGGGATGTGACTCAACACCATGGTTTGGTCCAAATCCCATAGACTCCATGGGACTGCCATATATGCCGCCCCATTGACCCCCCAAACCACCCCAACGTAGGCATATACGGCATACATGGAGTGTATGGGAATGGGGACGACCTCGTGTTGGTCGTGTCAAATCGTCAAACAGCTCGGTGCTGTGGGAGTCGAAGCATAAGATTCTGGTGGGCCAGAACAGGATGCCCAATTAGGGTTTAATTTCCAGGACCCTCCAAGAAGTGTCCAATGAACTACCCCACACTACCTATAGGCTTCCAGACAGGGCACCCCGACAGGGTCCTGGTTGAAGGGATTTGTTTTGACACCTTTAGAGGTGGGACGTCGGATGAAAATCCCGAGCCTGCTTAGTCGGGGGTTGACGGAGGGTTCCATCTTCATCCCATCCACCTGCACCCCAGAAGCGCTCCACTTGATGTTTCGACTTCTCCACCCTCCGCAAGTGACACACCCCTCGCGCCACACAACCCACCGACGCATCGTGCCACACGGACTACGTGTGTTCGGACCGCGCAACGATCACGGCCACCTCGCGCGTGACGCTGCCGGAACGACACTCGCTCCGAGGCACAAGCCCCCTTTGCCCAGGCGACGTTTGGCCCAGTTGGCCACGTTGCTATGGCCCTGTCGGCCATCCGAGGCGTGGCCCTTCTGAAGCATTCCGTAGAAATAGGAGCCCAAATAGGCCTCAGTCCAGGGACATAAAAAAGGAGTCGGACGAAGCAATGGAAGAACTATTTGGGGGGGAGGAAAAAGCAAAAGACTGGCAGAGACTGGCAGGGCCGGTTCTGGAGTTCTTCTTTTTGTGTTATGAATCAGGTGGATACGGTTATGATGTCCCATTTCTTTCGCTTCCAGCAAAGGTTGAAGAACCCTAGTTCGACTATCCTATAGTCCTATACCAGCACCTCCGACAGGTCACCAATTGAAACCTGTTAGGGCCCTGCCCAACCCTCCAATTCGAAAAACATGTTGGGTTCGGCGCTGGTAGGTACCCCTGGTGACGGGTCCTAGATAAGGGTCACTTCACCCCGCTGACTCGCCAGTCTGACTCACGGCCGTTACATGGGAGCCTCGGGGAGCCTCTTTTCACCGCCAGAGACCACGCGGCGCCCAAGAGGGGGTTCCCTAGCCTCCTTGCTCCTAGTAGTAAGGCCAGGAGCCCCTAGTAGCTTCTTGTTCCTAGTAGCGATGCCAGGAGCCCCTAGTAGCGTCCTTGCTCCTAGTTCAGTGCCTGGACCCCCAAAAGTGGTACTGGAATCTATGCCGATCAGCTGGGGTGGTGCCAGCGGGGTCTTTCTGGGGCGGCAGTCCGACATGGCAGTTTCAGACAGGTCGTGTCTGGGTATTGGGATAGTCCACAGGGTCCTTCAACAGCTGTTCGGCTGGAGACCCAGGGTCCTTCAACCGCCTGGGCATCGAACGAACGGAAACACAGGGGGTTCCACCGATCGCTGCGAAGTCGGAGGGTGCTGGAGGCTGCTGGAGACAGCGTGGACCAGTCCGTCCACCAGGGCCTTCCAAAGTCTTCGGTGGTGAACCGACCAGTCACCGGTTCAACGCACGGTTGGAAACACAGGTGTTGCACCTGTTTGGCCGTCGGGTCCAGGCACACCCAGGCTGGATGATGGGACCTTTGAACCTGGAAGAAGGAGACAGAGATACTCTGAGAAGCGTCCAAATGACCTCGGCGGAGGGGGTGACGCTTCCGGGGAGCCGCCTTGGTTTTTTTCGGTGTTCGCCAACCGCCAAGGAGCAGAGGCCAAAAGGTCGGGTCAAAGGTTTCGCCGACGCATCATGCGTTGCGGATGGTTTTCATCACTAGTCATACCCCAGACACTCCATGTATGCCGTATATTAGCCTACATTGGGGTGGTTTGAGGGCCCAATGTAGGCATATATTCCATACATGGAGTGTATGGGATACTGCTCTGTGCAGAACTCGTGGCGGCTGCTGCGAGTTCATTCATTTTTCAAGAGGGTGGATGCTGAGTTCCCCGGGAGACGAGTTCTGCGGGCAAGGCACCACGGAGGACAAACCCTCATTGAAGTTCACCGCTCCAGCCTCTTTCTTCCTGAGCATCATGAGCCGGAGCTGCAGCAAAGGCATCGTCGCCGGAGTATCCCAAGTATATATATATAGACTTGGATAGTCGTGATGTGTTTGACACCGTTATGTAGGTGCCAGCCAGTCGGGTCCAGACGTAGCGAACCTGAGAAGGTGGATCATAGTAAAGATAGTAAAGTATATGAGTGAAAGCTCATGTCAAACTGTCCAACTGCTCTCAGCTCACCCTAAGAATCCTTCACCTCTCCATGGCAGGGGTCGGACCCTCCATAGCAGGGGTCTGGGCCCGAACCAAACCCTATGTGTGTGAGGGTCCGGATTCTTAGGGCAAGACCAATACGCCACAGTGGGAGACGCTTTGGGCTCTGCACTCGGCTGGATCCAAGGTGCCAAAGGCCGAAGCACCCAGCCAGCACCCCCTGCACCCCTCGCCAACCCAAACTCAGCCTCTCCAGGCTCCTCAGGTCTGGATGTTCAATGACCACTAGCCAACGCGATTGAAGCATGTTTCACCCTCGCAATTCACCTCTTGCCGCGGAACGGCCCCCTGCGCTGCGGACCGGTCCGGACCCAAACCCCACGCAGCGACGCTCAGCCGCCCGAACCGAAGCGAACGCTCCACGCCGACCGAGCGCAGCACCGCGACCCGCGACCCGCATGGCGGGGGGTCACAGGTCATGGGACCTGGAAACTGCAGACTTCCGTAGGTTGACCTGGCGGGTCATTCTAATGCCAGCCCCACGACCTGTCTGGGACTGCCATGTCGGACTGCCGCCCCAGAAAGACCCCCCTGGCACCACCACCCCAATGTAATTAGGCATCTATTCCAGTCGCATTGGTCGCGTCTGGGTATGCTGTTCATGATTGAAACAAAAATGAAGAGCAAACAAAGTGTCCTGGTGTGAAACGACCCCTGTCGCAGATCCTCTGCCCCCCCCAACACCCGCCCTCTCGCCGCCCTTCCTTCCACCTCGCTCGCCCCGCCGCTGCCGGGCGTCCCGTTGGGGATCAGCGCCTGGCCCAGCTTCACGAAGAAGTCCAGCAAGGCGTCGTTCAAATCTTCGCCTGGGCGACGCGAATGCCACTTCGGCTTCAGGTCGAGGCTTCGAACGATTCCCAGACGCGACCAGTCTGGGACTGCCATACATGCCGAGAAACGGCCAGGAGTGGTGCCAGGGGGGGGGTTAATGTAGGCATCTATGGCAGTCCCATTCGTCGTGTATGGGATTGAAATAGGGCCAACCATCGTACCGAGGCCTCTAAACCCTCGAAGCCCTCGTGGCAGCGCTCTTGCTCCCGCGCTCCCGTTCGCCGCCACGTCGCCATCCTCCAGTCGCTTCACATCGTGGACCAGATGCACCGAGGCTCGTTGGAAACCTGGGGAGACGTGCTGCGGGGGAGGGAAAGTGCCCTTTCCGTGGGAACCGACCACCCCCCACCCCAAGAAGATCGGGGAACCCAAGAGACGCCTGGGGCCCAGGACACCAGCAGAGGTTGAAGAACCCGAACGAGGCTATCCTAAGCAAGGTGCTTCTGTAGGGTCCTAGTTCAGGTCACTTGACCTCTGTTGGCACGGGCCAAATCCACCAGTCACCGAGTCAGGACACTGAGCTCCACTTGCTGCCCGGCAGGCTCGGACATCGGCCTGGCAGGGCTGGCGTAGGAGGGATGCAGGATGGGGCGGGGTGGAGGAGAGCCCCACGGATCGAAGTCGTCTTCCTTTCGGGACCATGCGTAGTGAGTCAGGGTGCAGTTCTTTTGTGGGGGGTGCCCTACAAGTCCAGTCTGGCCTGGCGTTAAACCTGGTCCGTAAGACCTCATGTTTCGAACTGGTTTTGCATTCTCCCGGATCCAGTCAGGTCTGTCCGTAAGACCTGTAGGGTTGTGTCTTTTGGAGAGAAGAAAGATCAGGTACTCCATCATAGCCGATGGGCGACCGGCGGACGGGCGACCGGCGGACGGGCGACTCGGTGAGCGGGTGGGACATGGTGGCACATGGTGGGACACCGGTCCTGCGGTGGTGCTTTTTGGAGAGGAAAAGGATCACAGCTCCAGGACCGAACCCGTTCGTGACCGGGTCACGAACGGAAGAAGCTCCCTGCCATCTGACCGAACTTACAAGCCTACTAAGTGACCTTCCTTTTACAAGCCTACTAGGGGATCAAGTGACCGGTCACTACTGGGAAGATCCAGGAGGGTGAAAACATCGATGTGAAGTGGCCGCCATCGATGTGAAGTGTGTGGGGAGTGCGGCGTTCGCGGGTTTCGGTGCGGTCGGTTCGCTGTTCTGGAGGTTGGGTGGGGTGGGGAGCGGTCGTGTAGACATCGCAACAAATCCAGAGGTCAAGTGACCTGAACTAGGACCCTACAGAAACCTCTGCTGGATAGGATGCGGATTTCCAGGCATCGCGATACCGGAGTTGGGTGCCCTGTCTGGAGACCTGTAAGTAGTGTGGAGATATCAGTTGGTGACCCTTGGAAGCAGCTGGTACTTTGAAGTGGGAACATCAGGAGAAAAATAACAGAACACGTTTTCAAGGCATAGATGTCTAGACCTCCAGCTGTGCAAACACGAGCTGTCCGAAGCTCATCTAAACCGACCCAGCTGTCCCTTGAGTATCTTTTTTTTCAACTGCAACCCTAGCACTGGCGCACCCGACCAAAACCATCCTTGCAGGAGAACCTCTACCGCTCCAACATAGCATCCACCTCATGTCCATCCACCTCATGTCCACCCCTATCGTCCTCACCCACGTCGCATGTCCTCGCAGAACGTCGCATGGACATGATGCATTGTCCTCCTCCCAACCACTTCTGTGACGAACATGAACCACTTCACCTGGTAGGACAAATCCATCCACCACCGGTTGGGTCTATCCTACCAAGTGACTTGTTGAGTGACCGTTACAGGTCGCACTCCACCGGGCGTCCCGCCTCGTCCCGCCTCGTCCTCACCGCCCAGCTGCTCGGCCCATCTCCGGCGAGGTCCCGCCGCGGCGGCGGAAGGACGCCGGTGGACCGTCGATTCGCGGTGGCTTTGAGCACTAGGAGGAAGCAAAGACACAGCTCATGTCGATTTCGACCAAAAAAACAAAAAAGGAGAGAGCGAGAAATAGAGAGAGAGAGAGAGAGACCTCGAGAAACCTCACCCAGAAGCCTTCCAAGACCCATGGTATGAATTTTGACCTGTTCTTTTTGGTGGCCAATCCTTCGTCAAGCGCCACCATTCTGCGGGATTCGAACCAACTGTTTCAGGTTGATGTTTCTCGCTGTCGAAGGTCGAATGTCCTGGTGTTCCTTATAGGCCCTGGCGACTCTGGTCCCACATGTCTGGGTTTACCCAGTCTCAACCAGAAACAAGTCTGGATGGAACTCCATATCTCAACCACTTGTTATGTAAAAAGGACCAAACCACCGAGTTTTAATAGCGTCATCCCAAAGCACCGAGCTGTTTTACTAAGGCTTTACGGTTTTACCGAGTTTTACCCCACAAAACCACAGAAAAAGAATAGCATTTATGGTGCGTTATATATATATATTATATATATATACCAGCACCCTCCAACAGGTCACCAATTGAAACCTGTTAGGG